AAAGAGTTTGAATCTTGATACAGATACAGTCACCAGCGCCCTAGGCATCAAGTGGCACCAAATGCAAGATGTTTTCCTATTTTCGTTCAATGCGCAACCAGGTCAAATTGTAACAAAACGCACCATTTTATCCCTTGCGTCTTCATTATTCGACCCGCTTGGATTACTAGCACCGATCATACTCGTAGCAAAAATTATGATGCAAGAATTGTGGCTTTTGCGTGTGGACTGGGACGAGTCAGTCCCTCAAAATCTTCACTCAGCTTGGAAAACATTTATTCAAGATCTTACAACGCTTTCATCGGTTAAGGTGCCGAGATACTGCCTATCCATAAACTATCAACAGGTTGATGTACACGGCTTCTGTGACGCTTCAATACGCGCATATGGTTGCTGTATATTTCTCCGATCACAAAACACATCAGGTAAGGTGACGGTCAGGCTATTCACTGCAAAATCCCGTGTGGCACCTATAAAGCGGAAGTCGCTACCTAAACTAGAACTCTGTGGTGCCTTACTTCTTGCCAAACTGTATCAGAAGGTCCAACCAATATTTGCGCAATTTAAGGGTGAAACGTTTTTTTGGACTGATTCACAGATTGTATTACATTGGTTGAAGCAGCACTCATCAACCCTGTCTGCATTCGTTGGCAATCGAGTAGCGGAAATTCAAGATATTACCGCAAATGGGCAATGGAGACACGTTCCTACCCAATCCAACCCGGCAGATGTTGTGTCGCGCGGCTGTAACATCCGCCAATTATCAGAGTCTTGTTGGTTTACGGGGCCGGAATTTTTGTTACTCGCTGATAAATACTGGCCGCATTTGAAATGTCACAACCTGGATATGGAAGAAGTCAATAAAGAGACGCGAAAGGTTGTATTCGTTAACACAAATGAAGACAACTACGTATTACAGGTATTGTCAAGATATAGTTCATACACTAAGATGCTACGAGTAATAGCGCAGGTACAGCGTTTTTATCATGTAACCAAGAATAAATTGAAGAACGGAGAATGTACCCTCCAACCTATTCAGCTACAAAAGGCATTGCACTGTATTATTTGGGTCATCCAACAGCAATTCTTCGAAATTGATATACAACGCCTACAACGAGGGAACCCAGCCGAAGGTACATTAAAGCATCTAAATCCCTTCCTGGACAATGTATTCGGTTATCAATTACTAAAGGTGGGAGGTCGCCTCGAGCTGAGTGACATCTCAGTAGGCCAACGTCACCCTATTTTGTTGCCGAAGGGCTGTTATTTTGTGGAACTTTATGTTCGGCATATACACTTGTGCAACTATCATGCAGGCGCAAAAGCACTAATTGCCCTTACTCGACTAAACTTCTGGATAATTAATATTCGAGAAATTGCACGCCGAGTCGTGCACTCGTGTATTCACTGCGTGCGTTATAAACCCAAACTACTCAATCAAATGATGGGTAATCTCCCAATCGAACGCCTCACTCCAAGCCGTCCATTCGCGCGTACTGCGGTAGATTTTTGCGGTCCGATATTAACGTATCTCCGAATTCGGGGACGGGTTCCATATAAGACCTATATAGCCGTGTTCGTTTGTTTGTCTACAAAGGCAGCTCATCTAGAAGCCGTGTCAGACTTATCTACGGAGGCATTTATTGCAGCACTGAAAAGGTTAATCGGTAGACGAGGGTTACCATCAGACATCTATTGCGATAACGCCACAAACTTCGTTGGGGCTAACAACAAACTAGCAGAGTTAAAAAGGATGTTTTTCGAGAAGTCTAATCAAGTGATGCTGCAGACCTTTTGCAGCAACCAATTCATAAATTTCAATTTTATACCGCCCCGAGCACCTCACTTTGGAGGTCTATGGGAAGCGGCTGTAAAAAGCGCGAAAGGCCATCTGTATCGAACATTATCAAATACTCGATTCACCTTTGAGGAGCTTGGAACAGCACTGATTGAAATCGAAGCTATCTTAAATTCGCGACCAATCACACCTCATTCTTGTGACCCGAGCGATTATGAAGCGCTAACGCCAGCACATTTTCTTATCGGTGGGCCGCTCAAAACTTTATCTGAACCAAGTCCTCAGTATGAAGCTACTTCATTAATTGATAAATGGTCTCGTATAACCGCAGTCAAACATCACTTCTGGCGCAGATGGTCTAGAGACTATCTGAATGAGCTGCAGATACGCACCAAATGGACAGAAGAACAATCTAACATCACCGAGGGGGCTCTGGTTTTAATCCATGAAGACAATATGCCTCCACAACGCTGGTTGATGGGCCGAATCGTGCATTGCATCAGGGGTCCAGATAATTTGGTTCGTGTTGTTGATGTGCAAACCCCAAAAGGAGTAATACGCCGTCCAATCCACAAACTCGCACTATTACCAATTGAAAATCCTTTCAAGGGGGGCGGGATGTTAGAGCGGTTAAAGTCAAATTGTTAATATTGTAGGAATCTGTAGAATTATTAATTGATGTGTTATATGATTTATATATTATAATTTATTATATTTTAATCTATTGTAAATCATATTGTATAATTAAATTATTATAATTAATATATTATATAATTCATATATATATATAATATTTTATATGGTTAATATATGGTTAATTAATTTATCTAACTAACCCTGTATAAGATGTAATCAAACCAACGGTTCTAAGTCTTGTTTTATTGCCTTTTGTTTTTTGCGCTCGAGATGAGCAAATTTTATTGTTATATTTTTTGGGCTGCAAGTAAACTCCGTTGGTTTGATTCTGTCTCTTGTTTTTCGATCGCGAACGTGTCAACACACGGGTACACATAAAAAAGTGATTAAACAATCAATAACCGAAATTGTATAAATTCAATTGTATAAATTAAATGAAATCAAACCTCAATTATAAAAACGTTTATAGTTTACATTGTGTTAAAGAAATTGAAATAAAGATCATAAAACCCAATTATAAAAACGCTTATAATTTACATATATATATATTAATGATATAACATATCAATTATATATTTATTTTTTGTGCAATATATGATTAAGTGAAATTTATTTAAACTACCAGAAGTTCTCTTAGAACTTTCAAAAAACTTTCTGACACATAAAAGCTCTTTCACTTGCAATAAGTAACTTATGTCAATGGAAACGACAAAATCTTAAACTTACTTAAGTAACTTACTAAGTAAGCAGTGGAAACATGGTATTAGAATATGAATAGTAGTATAAGAAGTAGAAAATAGTATAAAATATGAATATTATCTTAATATGCATTCAAATATATATTTAATCGCAGTTGTTTTTGAGAAAATTGGAGAAAATTTATTTTTAAGTATTGTAATTCACTTACCTTTTTGAAAAGAAATTTGTAAATCTGGATGTTGTGTTGTGTTCCTGTTGATTTTGTTTTTGACCCAATATGGGTGTCGCTGGCGCAGAACCACGCCTACATGCTTTCTCATATGAAGTATCTGTAAATAAAATAAATTTAATTCAATTAGCGAAGTTAGCAAGATATATATTTCGAATTAATAAATTTTATTATGTGTGAAATATAAAAGAAGAATTGAATCTCGATAAAATCAATGAATTCATCTGTTGTTTAAAAAAAAATATATAAGTTTTAATTTAAAGATTGTCAGTGATAAATTTATTATCATTCTATGGTGATGTGAAGATAACTAAACTTGTTATTGGAAATACGATTTCGTCGTGCAGATGCGGATAACATGATTCGATTCCCAAAACAATTTTAATAAATTAATTGACTCTGATGTCATTTTATACATTTTTGCATTTAGAGACCGTAGATTTTTGTGTTTTCCTAATTAGTTACATTTTTAATTCATAAATCACTCATGGTGAGGAGAGATGGCAATCAAATCAATGGAAGTAGCTATGCGTGATTACAAATTAATTAAAATTTTTTATATATTAGACATTTCAGGGTCAACATTATTATATGTCAAGCCAAATAAACAACATTAATGTTAAGTGGTAATAGAGTATATTTTTTTAAAACTTTTGTCTAATATTAACAATTTAGTATTAGTTAAAACATAATTAGATTCTAAATATTTAAAATTAATACACTTGAGTTATAATTTATTTACATTCCAAGTAAATAATACTCATTTTTGGGTATATAACTTAGTTTTTTAGATTCCCCAAGAGATGGAATAACTTTTGTAACAAACATTCTTTTACAATGACACTTTCGGCGTTTACAGTGTTTCCATTTCCAATAAAAATTAATATGTCATTATATATGAAAGCGTAATAATAATTTGTACCAACCAATTTTGTACCAACAGAACAACATTTGCAGAAAGTATAACATTTTTGCTTTAATCTGAAGAAAAATGTTGCTGAAATTTTCGTTGGAAACTTATGGACAACTTGGACCAACTCCATAGTCTTACAAAAACTGGTTCAAACGATTCAAAAGTCAATGATAAAGAACTCTTTCGTCAACTAAAAAAGTTGGAGAAGAAGCATTATTGAAACGAAAACTTAGCTCAAACAAGAGAGAAAACAGTTAAATATCTCTGAAACAGCTCTAAACAAATGTTCACATGTCATGAAAATAATTCAAAAACAAGGACAATTAGTATCATATAAACTGATTGAAATCATATTGAAAATCGTTTAATAGTTTGCTATTTTTTGCTTATAAACCCAAAAAATTATGAGTTCCTCCTAGCGAACGACCCATATCAACAATAAAACGAAATAGTCATTTACGTAAGATTATGTTTGTGCATTTTTTGGAATCAGAAAGAAGTCGATGAACTATGAGCTATTAAAAACAAACGAAACTGTTACTGCCGATCGTTACCAACAAAAATTTATAGATTTGAACCATGTATGGTACAATTCCAGCCAATAACCAACGAAAAGTAAGGATGTTACTTGACCAAATGTCGCAAGACAATTAAAAAATACGTAAGAAATACTTAAAAGGGATATTCTATTCCATGCTCCATATTCACCAATTTGTGCTCTATTGTATTACTACTGTTTCCGATTAATGAAAAGTACTCTTCAAGACCTAGCTCTGCAGTAATTATGAAAAAATCAAAAAATGATTAATGGATCGCAGCAAGAGAAACAATTTTTTTCTATAGAATCTATAAATTGTCAAAAAGATGTTCGAAAGTCATAGTTAACAATGAAAAATATTTTGATTAGAAAAAAATTTTCTATTTGTTAAAAACAAAGAAGAAGAAGAACTAAATACACTTAACAGTTTTACACATCCACGCTATTTGTCATAAGTAAACAAATGTTAAGTTAATGTTATCAAAAACATAGAAAAATTTCTATGTTGTTTATAGTTTATCGCTGTTATTTACTATTGAAAATGTTAATGCTTTTGCTATGTTAAAGCTATGTTAATGCTTATGTTATGTTAAAGTTATGTTACTATTAAGCTATGTTAATGTTATATTATATTCATGTAGAAATAATTAGTAATTTTCAATTGAAATGTGTATACTAATTAATGAAGCAATAATAAACACTCTTTTTATATTAATTTATTAATTAAAAAACAATGTTTTTAAAATATCTTTTTATTATATTTTTAATTCGTTATCAATAATAATTTAAATATTATTATGCATATATAAAAATGTTTGGCTTATTGCATTTCAAAAACTTTAATGATTATATTTTCCAAGAAGTTCACATTTTTATCTAAATTGAGTTTTTGTGCTGTTCCACTTAAAAATTCCTCTTTGTATTAAAAAACATAAATTTTTTCAAAAAAAAAAAATAAAAATAAAAATATAATTTTTCACTTTGACAGTTTTTTTAATTTATATTTTATGCCAGACTAACGCATAAATTTACTTATTGTTTACACGTTATAAAATACCATAACAAACTTTAAAAAAAAAAAAACTTTAAAAAAACTGGTAAAACTCAAGAGTTAAATTTGCATAAAATAAATAAGAACTGCAAGCTGAAAATATGTCAGAGTAAAAAGCCTGAATCAATATTTAAAAACAAAAACAACATATCGGAGACACATACCCATGCACACGCATTATTTGATTATAAACAAACTATTACAGAAGAATGCAGAAGGAAAAACCAAGAAGCTATAAACGAAATATTTAAATCGTTGCAAACAAGAACAACAACAACGACAATAACAACAACAACAACAACAACAACATTAGCTTTAAAAGAGTTAAGATGTAGAAGAAGAAGAAGCAGGCAGCAACAAACGCATCAAACAAATACAACATACTTGACTGAGATAACAAATGCCCAGGCACAGTCACACTCACGCACACACTCAAACTCGCAGGGACAGCGACAACAGCACTAAACTTAGGCCGTTCCATTTTTTAAAAAAAGCATTACAAAAATAAGAACAAAAAACAAAAAACAAAAAACAAAAACAACAAAAATGCGTTTAATCGCCACTTGGCCTATTCTGGGGGAATAAAAATGAAAGGTATGCGCGTCTGTTTGTTGCTGTTATCGCTGATATACACACGTTGCTGCTACAACAACAACAACAGGAGCCACTAAATTATGCTCAAAGCATGTTTTGCTGCGTTATTGCGTGTAAGTTGTACATTAGCGTTGTTTTAAGAGAACAACAACAACAACAAAACTTCTGCCACAAAGTTATTAAGCATAAAGCCAAGCCACATGACTCATACAAATTTATAAAGTAGCAGCAATACTAACAGTAACAACACAACAACAACCAGTTTTCAATATAAAAGATTGTAATCAAAAACAAACGCATTGAAGAATGACCAAAAGTTTAGCATTAAAGTGGAGAATAGGTTAATACGTACATATGTGTATAAGTTCAAATTAATATTGCTTTATAGAATTTAATGGGATTAATGGTAGGTAATGTTATACTGTATGTATGCGGCTTTCGTGAACTTATTTTCGCAACAGTGGAAGCAGCGTATGTATTTAATGATAAGTTGTTATTGTTGTTGTTATTGGAGTAATGGTGTTGCTCGCTCTTATGCCTAAAAATTATGTTTTGCAATCAAATTGCTTTCGGACATGTGCCATGATGAATAGATTTTTATTATTTTTTTAATTATTTTTTTATTATTAAACTTTATGTTTTTCTATTTTATGTAATTTTAATTGATTTTTAATTTTTATGCTGATTTCAATACATCAATATTGTTATATATTAGTTTACAATTTTTATACAATTTAAATATTATACCTTAATTTATATTATTTAAATTTTACTAAAAGATAATAATAAAATCTAATTTAATTAGTTATTTATGTTCGTAAATCGAACATACTTGTAATAGGTCTTAGTAATTTTAGAGAGGGTTAAAAATCAAAAAAAAAAAAATAAAAGAAGTAATTCAACTTTTTAATGCCAAATTAAACCTTTAATTTAATGTTTTATATAGTGCTAATTGGTAAA